TCAAAACATTTGCCTCCCACTCTAGCCCCTAATATCAGTTGCTCATTTTCCCCCTCCCTCCCCACTCTCCCCTCCCTTATGAACCCTTCATAGATCATAAATTATTATAGTTTTGTCATAAGTTACCCTGTCCGATGTTTCTCTTCACCCTCTTCTCTGCTATCCATCCCCCAGTGAGGAGGCAATACTTAAGATTCTTGTAATCGGTTCCCACTTTCTACCCCACATTCCCTTCACCCTCCAGGCATCGCCCCTCTCACCACTGGTCCTGAAGGAGTCATCTCTACTGGATTCTCAGGGAATCCAGTATAAAACTCAATTTTAAAAATTCATTGATCTTATTCAGATTTGTGCGTTTACAGAGATTAGTCTTTCGTGTTAACAGTTTATGCACCTTTGCTTCCTAACGGTCACTGCCACTCCCTCACTGTGCAGCGGGCTTCCTTCCCACTGCCTCGCCCCCGCGTTCCCATCCTCCTCCATTCGTCTTTCCTGCCCTCTCCTGCTCCTGAGCTTCATCCCCCACCTCGGTGTGGACCAGTCTGAGGAGCCCACCCGCCCTGCCCAGGGGGATTGTTACACCTGCCAGGTGATCCCTGGGAGGGGGTTCTGATGCACGTTTGAAGGGTGTCTAAGGGCCATAGCCTTGGGGGCTTGTAATGATGTAGAATTTTGGTCTGCATATTTCTCTCATTCTATGCACAATCTTCTGTGGTCCCAATCAGTGTTGGGTAGCTTGATCATTTTAAAAATACACACGTACTTGTGTAACCACCACACAGAGCCATGTTTCTAGCTACTTTACTGACCTAAACTATTAAACTGTAAGTCTAAGTCTAAGCCAAAAAAATCTGAACAGCCCATGTATAGCAATAAAAGAGATTTTTATGTCATAAATGAAGTATGCTACAATTGTATCTATTTTGGTGGCCATACCTGGTCATAAGAGGGGAGCAGCATAGTCACTGTGGGGGAGCCTTGGCGGCGGCCCACACATCATCTTGGGGGCCCGCCACCCTCTGGTATCACAAGGAGAACCTCCTTGTTGTGCCAAATACATGAGATGGGCAACTGTGACTATTTTCATAGTTCTTCAACAGCGTATGAAAAGACTCCTCAGAAAACAGGCAACATGTTTGCACAAAGGAAGAAACAAGTAATAGTTGCAAATAGTTGCTAAAAGTGCGAGTCCCTTTCCACTCTTCCCGCTTTATGTTTCTATGAGGGACAGGGCCAGCCGCCCCCAGCAGTGACCCAAACGAGGGGGGGTGATGACTGATGTCACCACTGACTCGAGGGGGACAGTTTGATAAAAGGGGTCAGAACACCAGGCCCTCATGGAATGGCTACCCGGCTCATTCATTCATTCAACAGGTAGTTACCGACGGCTGACTACATGCTGGCGGTGTTCTCACGGCCTG